TGTGTAAAGCCATTTGTTAGACAAAATAGAAGAGGAAATAACTTACACTAGAAATTCGATTTGTAATGCAAGTTGCTCCCGGGCTTCTGACAGTCAGAATCGTAACGTGAAGAATAGCTGATGACTCCATTATTCAGTTATGAGTGTAACTGATAACCGAAACTTAGGCACTGTTGCCCGCGCCCATTGCTTACTCTGTATTCAAATTGGCCTGTCCAACTAGGCAAATTTCCATCGAAAACTAACTTTCAACACGAGGCAGGAATCTCGGCGGTCTTGTAAAGTGACGTTTGAGTATGGTGTAGACATTGATAGAAAGTAAATACAGTAATTAGTTTTACTCGTAATTGTATGTAGATGCTTGACTTACACATAAGAGCATATTAGTGTACTGTATCTGATTATTTTCTCATATAAAATCTGTATTGTGATATCTTTGCAACTTCCGCCACGTTTCTTTTCCAAGCGTCTTAAAGCCACATTTAGTGTCGGTTTAATTAAGTACAGCTGACGATAAGTTTAAGTCAGGATGACAACAATTACAGTACTTAAGCTGAAAAAAGATTCGAAAAGAATTGGAATCGATAAGACGAATTGATTCGTAGAAATAACTTGAGCACGAGTAATCCTTCACCAAAGGAAGTGGGCGTAGGGGCTCAGCACCTTACAAAGTAACAGAAAAAGGAACGCTAGTGAATTTTCCAGAAGTGTTTTCTTATCAAAATTTATTTATTTTTATTTATATCGTGTCGTGTGTTCAGTTTTTATATTAGTTATCAATTATCCGTTAAATAAGGTGGAACTTTTACTAAATTCTCATAAAATCTTGTTTTATCCGGTCAATTCGGCTGCCCCAGAGATAAGAATTACAACCAGGAATGTTGAAATGGAATAAATTTAGAAACACGAGCAATATTCTGTTTTATATGTTAAAAGCAATCAGCGAAAAGCGATGTTCTATTATTGGCATATATTTTCGAAAATTTTAGCATTAATAATAATAATAATAAAAATAGTTTTAAAATACTTTTAAATTATAATTTAAAATGATTCAAAACTAGTTTATAATGTTTTTATAAATATTTATTTGTTTAAAAAATTATAACAACGACATTTCAGTCTTCGTTCGGAATTCAAAGCATTTTTAATGATTAATGAAATCTTTTATTTTCGATTTTAAAGTTAATGGAGCGTACAACTACTTTAGTTAAGCTGCAGGAGGTCGCTTCAAGCAATTTTTGCTTTGGTGAGAAACACTTGTATGTTTCGGCTACTCGTTATTGTTGTTGGGCTCTTTGTATACGTTGTTTTAAACGAATTAAATTATTTAATTAAAAACGACGCGTAATTGTCGACGAAACTGTAAAATATTGGAGACAGTCGATCAAGAAAATACCACATTGCGTAAAACTGTAAACAGCAACAATAGAACGCCAGTCGTTACTAATAAATAGGAAAATATTTATGTCCGAACAGAAGATTATGTGGAAATCTACGTTTCTAATTTCTTCGGTAATCAGTTTAACAGAACTTCGTATGTGACAAACTCCATTTGACACATAGTACATATTATACGTATAATTTATGGTGGTAGCCATCTTAACTTGTCTTTGGCGTTGTAAATCTCGCTGCTTAGACAGGTTTCCAGCTGCAGCTGCTAACTTAAGTTAAAGCGAAATNATGTGACAAACTCCATTTGACACATAGTACATATTATACGTATAATTTATGGTGGTAGCCATCTTAACTTGTCTTTGGCGTTGTAAACCTCGCTGCTTAGACAGGTTTACAGCTGCAGCTGCTAACTTAACTCAAAGCGAAATAGATTAACTGTCTTTTAACAAAGAGGCTTTTCTAGTTAACGCGACCATTGTTCATTGTTCACATGCATTTCTAGAATGTTCTGTTTTGTGTTTTTCCTAATGCTTTTGTATTTTACGAAATGTTGCTTAGAGGGGTAATAAACCCAGCGGGGGAGGACAGACAAAAGCACTTACCCCGCGTTTCTTTATGCAGCGTTCGAGATGCGCTTTACAGCGACACACTGAAACCGGTTTGTAATTGGCCAACTCTTCTCGTGACGTCATTTGCTACACTCTCGCTGCATAAAGAAACGAAAGAATACTGTATATACCGGTGGAACCGTGAATACAAGTCACTTGTGAAAGACCTTCTTCCTGTGTAGGACTACGTATATAGATTTCAACGAAAAGAACGCCAACGAAGACTGATTGCATCGTCGCCACTATCCACAATTTCCACACAACAGGTATCAATTCACTTCGTTTCTTCTATATATCTTTTATATCTGTTTTCTTGGTTTTAAGACAGGCTAAGGCATCGCGACTTTCTGAATTATGTCTTTCGCTGGCAGTACGATTTGTAACCAAGATGGCGATTTATAACTAGTACCTAGCGAACTCGAAATTAAAGTGTTTTTGACAACAGACTTTCCTCTACTTTTTCCTTGAATAGGAACAGTTAACATAGATCAGATTTGAAAATAAACGTAGAATTTAGGCTTTATACATTACAAAAAGTTTAATTTTAAAATTTATGTAGGTAATTCAAATATATTAGACATAAATGTTTTGTTGACAATAAGTTAATTTTAGTGTACTTGTCTCACGACTTCCGCTTCCTCCCATCCAATCAGGGATCCTTGGGCCTGCGCCATCTGGGCCAATATTGGATCCCTGATTGGATGGGAGGAAGCGGAAGTCGTGAGAGAAGTACACTCACCAACTTTGGCGAAGACGGCCGAAAAAATGGAGATATATAGGAGCAAACTTAAAGACGGATGCATTAATGCTAGGGATGTGGAGGGTCTTCCCTCGGCTTGGAAATTTGCCGTTAAGAAGCTTTCAAGTAGCGCATCAACTGAAATATGATAATTATTTGATTTAAAGGAAACTTAGTATTAATGTGTAGTCGTTGTAGTATATTATTTATTATCTGATATCGTTTACAATTTATTTTTTATTTTTATTAATTGATATGTTATCAGTTTATTGATATTTTTGAACTTATTGTTCCATTTTGATGTATTCCATTTTCGTATATTCTAGCCTGATGATGATCCGTTAAGTGGATCGAAAACTTTCGATTTTAATAAAACTCCCTCAGCAAGCAATAAGGTGTTGGTTACGTTATTTGTTTATTTTTGCTGGGTACGATTGTATTCAATGTTATTAATATAGTTTTTAAAAAATACTCTTATATAATCTTAGAAGTCTCCTAAACAAATACATGTATAAATTGTATAATTATAATCAATAGAAATAGAGAAAACTGAATACTAACATCAAGCACTCATACTTATGATCACTTCCAAAAACATGTGCTCAGACAATCACTTATATTTTCCTTTGTTTCTTTCACAGTAGAATGCATGTGGTCTAATAAGCTTCACTGAACTCTAATGACAAAATGTATAACTAATATAATTGTCTAGCAAGCAAAAAAGCAGAGCTGCATCTCATTCTTTGGAAGGAAAATTGCGTGTCATATACGACACTCGGCATCCCAAGAGGATAAACCCTCTAATATATCAGTGTTAATTTTAATTTCTTCTAAAATTTGCTGTTCATCCCTCTCAGACAAAATCTCTGAGCTATCATGTGATTTATTTATAAGAAAATTTTTTGTTTTATGTTTTCAATTATTATTAATTGTGCTGTGTGGTTTTTTTGTAAGAACCTGCAAATTGTTTGTGAATTTCCTTGTTTACAAAAATTATTAGCTTTCTTTCAACCACAGTTGTTTCTTGCATTTTCAGCATTGAGTTTAACTATTCTAAACTAATTGCCATAAAATTACAAGAGAATTACTTCATTAACACGTGACTTCTAAGGCTATGTCCTACGTGGCAGCGTCCAGCGACTGCGGGCTGAAAGAATTTTAGTATGTGCTTCCAACTCACGAGCGACTTCTGTCCAGAGTGGACGCATGTTGTTTACAAAATAGCAGCAAGAAGACTTCATCGAATGCTAGTATGGAAAATATGACCAATCATTAAAACAGTAAATTTGACAGTTAGTTTTATCACTAATTAGATACACAACAAATAAAAAGGATATAGACTAATAAGTTAAAAAAGTTTTATTTTTTTAAACAAACTCAGAAATTATTAAATTACATAAAAGATTATTAATTAAAGTACATACAACATATATACACAATTTATTTGTCATTCTGTTTACATTCATCTTCAAAATCTGCCATTTTCTTCGTTGGAAGTGTGAGCTGTGGAAGCAGTGATCAAACTGGCTTGGTAGCTGTTTCCTGCACGTGCATATAGAAGCATCGACTGGTGGGCACTACATGCTAAATGCGGTTACTCCAGACACATGCATTTGCTTGAACTGGTTTGTCCGCTCCGCTTGGAAGCTCGTNGTCATTCTGTTTACATTCATCTTCAAAATCTACCACTTTCTTCGTTGGAAGTGTGAGCTGTGGAAGCAGTGATCAAACTGGCTTGGTAGCTGTTTCCTGCACGTGCATATAGAAGCATCGACTGGTGGGCACTACATGCTAAATGCGGTTACTCCAGACACATGCATTTGCTTGAACTGGTTTGTCCGCTCTTCTTGGAAGCTCGTTGACGCCTGCGGTCGCTGGACGCTGCCACATAGGACATAGCCTAAGAAAGTATTAACAAATAGTTCTGATTTCCATAGACACAAGTAATACAAATTATTCAAATACTAGTATGTATCATTTTCTACATTAAATGGATTTATGTTTAATATTCTTTATATTTTATTATTTTTGCAATGTTCTTTTATATTACAATATTGACACCATTAAGAAAGTGTAACTATATACTTTTTCAAAATTCCTTTCATTGTAATTAATGTGGAATGTACAAGAAATATAATTTCATATAGAAGTGGTCAAATACTTTGTGGCTAATATTATGTTTGCACAATGAAAATTAACATAATAATGACAATATAGGTCATGATGATGATATATACAACAACTTGATTTAGACTTATATGAACTTCACTCTTTCAGTTGTTGAATGCCAAGCAGAAGGCATTGGCATATGGAGGTGAATCCCAGTAACATAACTAGAATCAGTATTAGGGTGCCTGAATTAGAAGTGAAAATCTTCATTCATTCTTGTAGTGCTGTGGATGAAGAGCAATCTCTTCCTATTATATATATACATGTGTATAAGCACATTTGTCACATTCAAATCTTTTTCCTTATTTATCTGACTTTTTCATAATTCATTTTTCATATTTATCTGACTTTTTCATAAGGGGAGGTCTGGACCCTTTTCTGGTTATGCTACTGATGAATGCTATAATGCCACATCACTAACTAATCCACTTCAATAAGGTTCACTCTATTGCAGTGGTTCTCAACCTTTTTTGTTGATGTACCCCATTAGCCCATTAGTTGTTTCTCAAGTACCCCTTATATTTTTGTATGTAAATTTTATAATCACTGCGTTAGATGCAGTGGCGTACCGTGGATGTCAGCCGCCCGGGGCGGAGGAAAATTTCGGCTCCCCCTTATTTAGGTATTTCAATTTAAAAGACCAAAATTCAGTTTTGTCACAGAACAAGCAGTGAAAAATTCGGTGGTAGTGTAGCGACCTGTTTAAAATAGTTCTATGGATATTAGTGGTGTATATGAACGCGAATGAATCGTACAAGCAAAAAAAAAAAAAAAACAAACAAAGGTCAACAGGTTTCGCAGGGATTTCCTCGGATGAAACAATTACTACTTCACCCGGACGGCGAGCCGATTTCCGGACTATCCGGACGATAGCACTATCGTAGGCGCGATGCAAGTATAGATTAGGATCTTTCAAATTTTTACAAGATATTATTATTATTTATTGTGTAATTTTGCCGCCCCTTAAAAAGCGCCGCCCGGGGCGGGCCGCCCCTGCCGCCCCCACTGGTTAGATGATTAGTCCTTATAACTGAGCGTCATAAAAAAACTCTAACTAACTAACTATAACTAAAAGTGAATTACTTATTTTACGTAAATAATAATAAATTTAATCAGGTGCATACATTTATTTATTATTATTTGACAAGTAGGCTACAGTATATTACATAAAACCACAGAAGTCATTTCAATACACGCATAAATTACATTTCCTAAAAATAAATAATTATAATTAACTATAAAGAAAATTTAAATTATTCTACAATAATTTCTAACAAAATTTAATGGGATATTTGTTGCGATAAATCTTCAGCAATTTTTTCAAAATTTGGTTTCCACGTTGTTAAATAGAGATTATAATCTTGTACTGACCTTGAAAGTAATGGCTGCGAATTTATAACGTGCAGAACAATACACGAATCTTTCAATTTTTGTAACAAATGTAACGTCTAAATTTGCTAAATATCAAGTAATGCGCGCATGCAGTGACACATTGCATGGTGGGGGTACGATCCAGGCCTCGTTATTCCTAATACCAGTAGTCCAGTAAAAACACGAAAAGCCCCAATCTTATTGAGCAATAATTATAGAATAGAGAAAAAAAAATTTTTTTCTATTCTAAAATTAATGCTCAATTAATTTAAACCGTAATTTTACTAGACTACAGATTCACTCGGCACTAATGGCACAAATAGACAGGCAAATCGAGTGGGTAAACAAGTTGTTTAGACTGTTAAAAGGGAAATCGGTGTTCACGCTGGGATATTTTAAAGCAAGTTTTTGTTGTTTGTTGTTTCTTGTGTTAATAATTTACAGCAAATTGATTAACATACGCCATTTTATAATGAAAGTTAGATGTACCCCTTCGATTTACGCTCGTTTCCCTAGGGGTACATGTACCCCCGGTTGAGAACTACTGCTCTATTGCATAAAACATGTAAAAATAACCCAGTTAGAAAATTCATTCAGTATTAGCTAATTCTGTTTTATTGAAATGAGAAAAATTATCTGTAATCAAGCTTTTGAATCTGATTAGCTGTTGTCATATAAACATATATTATATTTTCAATATATATACTATGTTGAAAGATGAGTTAAGGAATTGAAAAATATTTGATTAGAATATAAAACCATGCTTTGAAAATTAATAAATAAATAAAAGCTTTGAAAATTATATTTTAGTTGTAGATTTCTATTTATTGTATATATAGCCAATAATATTTTTGAATTACCGNCTCCCCTCATTTACATACTTATTCGCTAACAATAAATTTTTTCTATTTGTCTGGCAGCCTATTTTTCCGACAATACTCGCTAACCTTTTACATTATTCTTTTTAAATTTTCGGGATGTTTTATTCTTTTAAGGTTTAGCGAATTTAAGTTGTGTTTCTGGGCTGTTCTCCCCCCCTTTTCTCGGTTCAGACTTACTTTTTTCCGCTCGGGACCGCAAGTGTGCGTGAGTTTTTTCTACGGCGCTTTTCTCTCGTTGGTGAGTTGGTTTCTCTTCTATTTTTAAGTTTCTAAGGTGAATGGTGAGGAAACCTTCGTCCTAACAAAACATAAGCCCCAAACAAAAATATAATAAAAAGCAAAATAAAAGTAAATAAAAATAATGCCGGACTTGGTTCCTTACACCATTTTACAATTACGTGACTCATAGCCTAGTGATAACAGAGAAAAGAGACAGAGAGGACATCGGTATAAGTCACAGTTATGATTTCACATATTCGAGACAGCTTGGTAGCTCGAACAGCCCCAGGCTTTCGCCCGTGCATGCTAAGTGACTTTCATTACAAGCATTTAGCTTTTCGAAGTCTATGACAACAACTGTTTGGCATTGCTGGCCGCAAATTTCACGCCAATAAGCTGCCTTGACTTGTTCGATTATGTTATCAACTCAATTTCATATTTATTTTCATTTTCACTTCGCAGTCCTTCTCTCTTCTTTTTCTGTTATTTACACATGTAGGTCATTTCATTGTTATCCACATTTGATATCATCACTTATCACATACTGCCTTGACACTTGTGTCTGTCCCCTTCAACTGTCAAGAATTAACGCGATTGGTGAAGCATAGTGACAGCGGGCCAATAGAGAGCAGGGTCCTTGCCATAATGTGGTTTGCGCACCAATTTTCATACATGCGTTAATCAAGCTGAATAGTATGGCCGAATATTCGGCTATTCGGCCTGAGGCCGAATATACTATTCGTTGCAACACTACTAATTTGTCATTGAGCCGAATGTCGACACTATGAAAAGGTTAAGTTGAAGCGAGAGTGGGAAGTCCATTCCAGCACGGGAACTTTGTAAGTTCAGTTCAACACGACCAGATTTATGTCACTCTTGTTTAAGTTAGACTTGAGAATTTTTTGTTCAACAATAAATATGAATTCTTCTTCATGGAAAAATAAGACATCCCCTGAAAATAAGACCTAGTGCATCTTTGAGAGCAAAAATTAATATAAGACACTGTCTTATTTTCGGGGAAACAGGGTATCACTTAAGCGACATGATCAGTTTCTAGCATTGTTTCTGAAAAAATGGGCAAAGTGTTTTCCAGACATCATTCAATGTTTTTTGGAAATTTTATCCCAAGATTTTCCAATGATTCTTACAGCATCTAAAACATTGAATTGTTTCCAAAAGTCTTAAACAGATATCTCACTGTTTTGCTTCATAGCTTCATTCAGATGTGCAAACGAACACCTTGTGTAGTAAGCCTTGAATGTTTTGATGACTCCCTCGTCCATTGGTTGAAGTAAGCTGGTTGCATTTGGAGGCAAAAATACAACTTTTAAATGTGGGTCAAAATCAATTAGAGTGGCAGGAGGGTGACTGGGTGCCTTGTCAATGAGAAGCATCACTTTAAATTGAATCTGTTTAGACTTGCAATAACATTAGACTTTGGGTATGAAGTAGTGACCAAATCAGTCATCGAAAATGGAAGCTGTTGTCCAAGCTTTATGATTTGACTTCCAAATAACTGGTAAGCTAATTGACAAGATTGTCTTGTTTATAAAATCATACTACCTGCTGGGTAACAAGCTTAGAGGTATGAAGGAGTACATGTCAGGAGTTGCAATTTGACACAGAGTATTAGGTGCTCAAATCATGCATGCATAAAAAAACCCAGACTTGTAGGTACTCGGGACTGAGAACCGAGTCAGAATAAAATTTAAAATGGTGACACACTCTACATACAGGCAGTAGTGTGAGATTTGCACATGTGTTGCTCATTGGAAAGTTGGAAATGCAAATGTTGTGAAATTGAATTTTTACAAATACATGCATTGGGAAGTTCGAAATGAGAAATTGAATTTTGACAAACAAATCTTTGAAAAAAAACCCATTTACCTGTCCTGTGTTATTCCCAACATATCTCTGGTCGCAACATGCTGACCTTGACCGGTTGACCTATATATTGTTTATGCAAAATAAAAAAATAATTTCGGATGATATGATAGCCAGGATTATTTTTTCAAAAACAGGAAATTTTTGTTAGGCATCGACAAAAATTCAACTTGGAGTAACATGCAACGTTGAAAAATTTTGAAATTGAATAGGTTAATTTNAAGTGGTTGGACTGTAAATAAAAAACCAAAAATTGCTGATGTTAAGATCTGTGATTTGAACTCTCAAGAAAATTTAACTTTAAAATGTACTGAAACTTATCAGAAAGATTCACCTGCATTAAATTACAATCTAACTCCTTGTAATTCTTCTGAATGCAGTAAACAAGGTGAACTTTCTATATCTGATTTAGCAACAGAATCATCAAGTTCGATGAAGACTTGTGAAATATCGTTTGAAGATATCTGTGATTCTAATAATTCAAAGAAAAATGATATTTCTAATATGACAAAAACTGTAGATGAATCTTTTCAGTTACCTATAGTATCTAGGAAACGACGAAGTGCAGAGACAGTATCACTACCAAAAAGTAAATATAATTATGTAAAACGAATGTCATATCCTACAGACCATTGTAATGAGATTAACTCATCTGTAAAGAGAAAGCGAATGAATTCTTTTTTCAGTTTACCTTCATATGATATTTCTTTTTCTAAAAATATTAATATTGGTTTTATTGATACACACTGCCATCTTGACTTTTTATTCAAACGTGAACATTTTCAAGGAACGTATAAAAAATATCAGTTGGAAAATTATGAAACTTTTCCTAAAAATTATGAAGGATGCATCACTATATTCTGTGAACCTCAATCATTTGCCAAGGTAATTATATTTTGTTAAAAAAATGTTTAATGTTTTTCACTTTAGATTATTTGTATTATTGAATAATCTGAAGATTTAATTTATTCATTTTCTCATTTTTTCATTTAAAAATGAAGAGACGAGAAAATGAATGAATTAAAGAAACAAGTTTACCATATTTCCTGTAATAATTGCCCACATAAATATTCTTCTTTTATTAATTGCCCATCTAATTTGTATTGTGAAGTAAACTGCATTGGTTGACCTAGATACTAGTATATCAGTGATGTTTGATGTTATCGAATAATCGACTGTTGATACAATAATTTCCTATATGAAAGTTGGAAAAATAAATACTGTCTAATATTATCATCAAACATTGATAATATTAGGAATTATTGAAATTTATTATCAATGTTTGATGATAATATTAGACAGTATTTATTTTGTTTTTTTTTACTTTGGTTTGACATCTCTTTTAGAATCATGCTTTTTTCTTACATTACTTTTTCCAATTTTTTACTCCACTAATTAACCCTCAAGAATGAAAGAAAATTACCTACTGGACAATTATTACAGGAAATATGGTGTAAAGATACAAATAAAATTTCTATATAAAAAATTCTCTTAGAAACAACTAGAACTATAACAAATTAAATATTATAATTTAATATTAATAGATCATATCATTAATATTTAATTTAACATTAATGTATATATGTATTTGTAGTAGTTACATTCAATTTCAACACTCAATAGTAATGGTTGTTTTCTGTTCAATAATATGTAGATAATTAAAACTGAAAGGATAATATATATCCTTCCAGTTTATATGTAGATAATATGTAGATAATTAAAACTTAAAGAACTGAAAGGATAATATATAGCAGAGCATCAGTTATCCAAAATAATTGGGACGGGACAATTTCAGAGTTTTTTTGGATAATTGATCACACTTCGTAGGGAAAAAATAAAATGATTATTGCTCATGATCCTTATATTAAAGTATATAAAACAACATAAATAACTTAAATAAACTATAAATATTAATTTTAATTCTAGTATAACAGAAAGGTTAAGGCATAGAAATTTAAAGGAAATAAAAAAAATTGTCTAATTTAAGGTAATAAGTACTAGTCTTTCATTGTAATCTACAAAGTACTGATTAAACTTTTAATTTAATTTAAAAAAATTCATATTTGTAAAATTAATAATAATGAGATAGCTCAATAGTGGACCTACAGAAAATTGTCAACAGTAATCATGATGTTAAAACTTTGTAATTTCTGGAATTAGTACTCTAAAGTTAATAAATTTTTCTTAACAAAAAATAAGATGGAAACAGCATAGCTAGACTAAGTGTCTTCCTATAACTTAAAGCATGTGATATGGGATGCCCAAAGAAAATAGTATAGTTTTGTAATAGGAAAT